TTTGGTTTTCCGAGACAGGGTTTCTCTGTGTAGCTTTGCGCCTTTCCTGGGACTCACTTGGTAGCCCAGGCTGGCCTCGAACTCAGAGATCCGCCTGGCTCTGCCTCCCGAGTGCTGGGATTAAAGGCGTGCGCCACCACCGCCCGGCTTCATTTGAACGTTTAAATAGATCATAACTTAAGTTCTGGGAGTTCTAGATGATTTGTTTATGTATTTAATTTTGGCAACTCTGGAGAGCAAGGCCAGGGAGGGAAGGAGAAGGGAGAGGAGGGGAGGGGAGGAGAGAGGAAGAGAGGGAAGTAGAGGGGAGAAAAGAAATATCAAATTAAGTAACGAAAATATATATCAGCTTAGAATGATAAAGGAAGTCAATTTGGGAGTCGGCAAGATGGCTTAGCAAATAAAGGCACTTACCATCAACCCTGGCAGCCTCAATTCTAGCTTCAGAGCCCCAATGGTAGGAAAAAACTAACTCCTCCAAGTTGTCCTCTGAGACACACACACACACACACACACACACACACACACACACACACACACACACAAAATATTTTTAAGTCAATTTTTGTTGGCTACATACTTTTTTTTTTTTTTTTTTTTTTTTGGTTTTTTCGAGACAGGGTTTCTCTGTGTAGCTTTGCGCCTTTCCTGGAACTCACTCTGTAGACCAGGCTGGCCTGGAACTCACAAAGATTCACCTGCCTCTGCCTCCCAAGTGCTGGGATAAAAGGCGTGTGCCACCACCGCCCGGCTGCTACATACTTTTTATTGCATTTTCATATGGCAGGTTTGCACACCTTTTGTGGGGCTAGGAGTTTTGCTATGATGCCCATCCTGATATCAAACTCACCCTTTCCTATCCCAACCTTCCAAGCAGGTGGGAGAAATACCTTTTTTGTTGTTGTTGTTGTTTTTTTGTTTTCTTTTTTAATAGGGAATGGCAAGGTAACTCAGTCTCTCCATTATGCTTGATTTTTTAACGTATTATTTATAACTTGGAAAAGTTTCCATTCCACAAATCATTAGTGGTAACATTAGACAAATATTTATGATTATTATTAAATTCTAGAAATGGCTTTACTTAGCTATTTCATATCTGAGCTGTAAGATTCCAAGGAAATTCCAATTTTCTTCTGTGGAAGCTAATTGCAATTGCTCTGAACTAAAGACATAATATAACCATGACCATTTCTTGTGGTCTTTATTGCTGTCATCATTGAACTGACTTTCTAATATGTTTATGTGACTCACTCTTCTCGGGGCTGAGCTATCAGAAGTTTAAACCCATTTTTTATTTTCTTTGAAGTGTATTTCCTTTTTATATTGTGTGTGTGTGTGTGTGTGTGTGTGTGTGTGTGTGTGTGTGTGTTCAAAAGACAACTTGTGATAATTGGTTTGTTTGTTTGTTTGTTTGTTTGTTTGTTTCATCCGCCGTGTAGGTCCTGGAGATTGAACCCAGATCGTCAGCAAGTGCCGTTACCCAACAAGCCACCTTGCCAGCCCATATTTATGTATATATGAATGTAGGTGTGTGTTTTGGGACAGGGTTTCAGTGTTTAGTCAAGCTGGCCTTGAACTTGACATTGACATTGAAGCTCCTGCTTCAGCTTCCCAAGTGCTGGGGCTGCAGGAATGCACCACCACGCTTCACTCAAACGCATTCAAAGTCATCTAGATACAAATTAAGGTTCTATCCTGTCTTGTGTTTATACTGAGATGCTCAAAGCATTTTCTAAATTGCAGCTAAAATAATATATTCCAGGACTAGGGATGTAGGTCATTTGGCAGTATTTGCCTAGCATGTACAAGACTCTGAATTTGCTCTCTAGCACCACACAAACGGTGTGGTTATGAATGCCCATAATCTTTTTTTTTTTTAAATTTTATTTTACAATACCATTCAGTTCTACATATCAGCCACGGGTTCCCCTATTCTCCCCCCTCCCACACCCTCCTCTTACCCCCAGCCTACCCCCTATTCCCACCTCCTCCAGGGCAAATCTTCCCCCGAGGACTGCAATCAACCTGGTAGACTCAGTCCAGGCAGGTCCAGTCCCTTCCTCCCAGACTGAGCCAAGTGTCCCTG